TATATTTTACTCAAACCATGAAAACTTGGTCTTTCTTCATAACAGAACAATGGCATAGCGTGTTCACTTGGTAAAATTTTTTTAATGAAACACTTTCTTGTGAAAAATGATTAGAAACAAATAATACTGCGTTCAATAGTTAAAACGGACATTAAAGTTCCTCATATGACATTTTTCTTTGGAAGCATTAGCACCACTTGCTTTGTTTTTCTCGAAAAAGTAGTGCTTCCAAACTTTTGAACGGTAGTGTATGGTATACCAAGAAAATGGTATTGCGATATTATTGGCACATCTTGTTGCATGCGTCTTTTTTCGCTTTGAAGATGAAACAAACGTGGGAGGGGGCTCGAGCGGAAGAAAAGAAGAAAATTAGTATTAAAAAAGTACGAGCGGAGTAAAAGGAAAAGTATGTGCGCGCATATATACGGTGTATGCGATGCAAGCGGATCTAATCTAAGAGTGTAATAATTGCGCGCGAGGCGACTTCTAATTGGATAGATAAAAAGATAGATAGATATTATTCTTCTGGAAGTTAAAGAGATAAACCGTAGGTGAAAGAGATAAACAACGTGAACATAATGGGTCAAAAGCATATACACAATGCGGACAAAACGGTTTCTGTCAGCTGTAAACGACTATATCGGCAACTATCAAAGTGTCTTCTGAAGCCACTATACCGCAACAGTCGACGAATAAATGAATTCTATGACTTTTTTTTTAGAGAGAAAGAATATCGCGGTCTTTCCCGTTATTACTTGTTACAGGATGATTAGGAAGAAAATACGAATACCTTACCAGGCCATTCTGAAATTAATTTTTAAGTAAAAACCCAGGATTCTTATAGTTATTGAATTATACGAGGATCTCGATTTCAACGTCACGAATCTTATCCGCGTTGCAATCAGCGAGGACTATAATATGTTCGGTTGTACCACACCAGTATATACCTACTGTAATTTCTCAATGCTATATTCTGTCTAGCATTACAACGTCAACAGTGGGACAATAATGTCAACAATTCATTATGTAGATATGCAGCGCACACAGCGCGCTTCGTTCAGCGACGCTCGCCAGTATCACGATGTTTTCGCAGCTGTCGGCTGTACGCATTTTAGCGCAATCTATATGCATTTAGTTCGCTGATTAATAAACAGTTACGTGGATCCTGCTGCCGGTTAATTGCCAAGTCAGAACGTCGAGGCGCTCCGCGTGCATCGCGGAGTGAATGTTTCAAATCCAATCTGCTCGACATTCGTGTGACGCCGGTTCCCACACTCGCAGAACTAGATCCTGAAAATTATCTTAAATGACTCGGTATTCCCTGCGTGTGCACATTCGAAGAGAGACCATATATATACATATACATATATCGGCGGCGATGCTTCCGCGCCCTGCGTGATGGCACAATGCCAGATGCATGGCACATACGGGATCGAATCCGCGAGCGAGCGAGCGAGCGTCACGTTTCCGCGCGAACGGTACACGTGCGCGCGTGGACGCGTCGTGGTCTTCCTCGTTCGTTGTCGTCGTCTTCCTCCTCTTCGTTGTTGTCCCCTTCGTCGTCGTTTTCGTCGTTGACGGTATATGCTGTTGTGTTGTCATTGCCGTCGTGTTTGCGAATAAAACAGGACTCCGTATCGCGCGTGCTCCGAAATGTCAGTGAACTCGAATCCAGCTGCTAAGTAGCCGACCCGCCGCCGCGCCTCTCTCCGCTTCGCCTACCCGCGCAAATCCTCCCGTTTCTGCTCGGCGAAAACTCATTAATACGCCTGGGTCGCGAAAAAGAGGGCGAAGCGCCGCGCCGGTACGAAAGACAGATGGATTGGGAGAGATCTGTATTCGCGCGCGAAAGGAGCTAATCTTAATCCTCGGAATCAGCCAGGATTGATTGACAAAGTGTCTAAATATTTCTTTTAGGGCGCAGTCTTTCAGATTAATGTTATTTCGCTTGCGAATTTATTATGATCAACCGCATGTGCTTTAATATTTATTACGAATAGCATTTATTATCAGAATGTATCGTTCTTGCGTATATCGGAGATATTTTACGACAATAAAAAAAATCAAAAACTTTTTAGCGAAAGTGTGCCTAATTAAGAAATTTTAAATAGATTTTGAAATTTTTATATATTGTTATAATGTTAAATACAAAATTTAATCTCTTTAATAGGGACAAGATAGATTTTAATTGTTTTAGTCAATCTTCGATTTTTTGCGATACTTTTTGTCAATTGATTTCAATATTTTTTCCTTCTTTTAATAAAACGCAACTAAAACGGATATATGCAAAGAGTGAAGGATTTAAATAGCGCGTGGCTAGGTTTTGCGAATTTCTATCTAGAGCTCCGACTAAGACAAAAGACACTTGAGCGACGTTTCTCCGTTTTTTCCGCGGCTGCATGAATGGCAGTAGGACGATACTGACGAAAAGGAACGAAAGTGAAAGCTAAACGATTCGTTGGACTAACGAGGCCAACGAGGCTGTTTCGTAAATTATACTAATAATATCTGGATGTTCGACCCTGATACCCCCTTCCGTTTCTTTTTCGTTCATCCTATTTTATACCAGTATCTAATATCTTTTTATTCCTCTTTGTTACTCTGTTTACTAGACATCTATAGAACGGTAAATAATATTCGCAAATAGTGACTATGTAATGCGACAATCTTCGGGGAGAAACTTTTTATCTGTTGATCGACGAGCAATTTAATTTCGTTTGCTTATCTATAATCCTTTATCAAAATGATATTTCATATTAATATTTAATAATGATAAATTATAACAAATTACGTATTATAAATATCAGAGGAAGATAATAGATAATAAATTATATTTTGCTCGTTTTATTTTAGTTTAAAGGGAGCGAGTATTTTTTAAATAATTTTATGTCATTGCTCCTGAAGAAATTGGAACGAGACATACTCAGTAATTATTTTTCCTCTTCTCGCCCCGCGAACTTATTTAATATTTTTGCTGTGTCTTTAATTACGATCACCGTCGCTTTTGATGTATATTCCATTACATTACGGGACGACACTTCGAAAACTGAACTTCGTATACGCGGCAAATCGTCAAAGCGTGTAAACAATATTTGATATTTCTCTGATAAAATTGTAGAATACAAACAATAATTATAATTAAACGCCGAACAATAACGAAGTGCATGCACGTAGCTTTAATTATATTCAAGCAAATAGACACGTACCCTCTCTACCTGATATTTTGGTTTGTCTCGTTGACAGTTACCTTGAAGATGTTTTTTATTCTTGCGTCTGTTGACGGATTTTTGTTAGTTGTTGGCTAACTTCGACGATAAGACGTATCGAACTTGCGCTAGAAATTAGAAGTCATGCATTACCGTAATTACAATGATAGGATAAGTCCGGCAGAATTTAACCGCACGATTTAAAGCCGCTAAACACGTTTTTTATGGATAGCGGCGACAATGCGAGGGAGTACTCGTATCTCGTTACGTTATACATATTTATATCACGCCAAGTACACGCGTGTATGATTCTGTGATTGCACTGATATGATTCCGCTCGTCAATGCACCAACCTTGTTTTCATAATAGATAACGTTATAACGAACTTTTTCCTGTCGACAGTGATGACCGGTTCGCGGCTTGGCAGAGGCCGTGGTGGCCGCCTGGCTTTGTACGGGGGCTGCGCAGTGGTGGTTGTCCTGACAATGATCGTGTATCGCAACACCATCTCGGAGATGACCAGGCTTCAAGAAATGCAAGTGCAATGCCTGCATCAGCAAGAATCTCTCGCTGCTCAACTACAAGGTAAGCTCAATACATACGTAGGACGTAAATAACTAAATGCTGTCGAAGATTGAAGTCGAAATCGAATTGTGTTAATATTTAAACTGCTAGAAGATATTGAATAACGATAAATACCCCAGGATTTTAAACTACTCCTATTCCAGAGTGGAGGATTTGTTGCGGGAAATAAGATCTTAATACGCAGATTTTAAATTTACAATGAATTACATATTCGTATTCCATTTTTATAAATTTGTTAATTGCGGATTACATTAAGCAATTAAACTCCTTCTGATTTAGCCACTCACACCTGGACTTATCGGTAACGTGATAATATACGATCTTTTCAGTAATATTTGAGTACAAAGTACGGCTGGAGAAGTCCTTGGCCGAGGAGAAGAGCTCGAACGCCGCGGTGAAGCAGGAGTTGCAGCAACGCGCGTCGCGGGAGAAGTCTCTGCGCGACAAGGACAGTATAGAGGCGATGCAGAGGTTTAATTCGCTTCAGCAGACCTACAGGCTCCTGCAGACGGAGCATCGGGACTTGCAGGAGGAGTGCAAGAAGCGCGAGAAGCAGGCGTTGGACGAGACCAATAGGCTAGAATCGACGCTGCAGGACTTACGCGCTCGCATCCGGCAGGCTCAGGAGGACAAATTTAAGGCTCTGGAGCACTTGAAAACCAAGTACCTGGAAACAGATGACGAGAAGACCAGGCTGCAAGAAAAGTACAACGAGCTGATGCAAAATAGGGACAATACCGGTAGTACCGTCGACCATCTTAGGAAGGAGATCTTCCAGCTCAGACGCGAATTGGAGAGCGCCAAGGTACGTCACTCGTTTCCTAAAAGCAACATAATTTAATATTAGCGTCAATTATAAAAATAAGGCACTTAATAGTTATATTTTATATATGGGATAAATTGCATCTTATTAGAAAACAAACATATGTATGCTTATTTGCCAAGCTAGTAGTGATTTATATTTTCTTTTAAGTATTCAAAATTGCAAGAGAAGAATCGAGACAGTTATATAAACACACGTGATTGTTCTTATATGGATTTCAGAAATTCTATGCTAGAAGTACATCTCCTAGTTCAGTTTTGGTGACTCCACGAGCGTCGGTGTCGCAATCGGCGTTACAGAAAGAAGATTCGCAACCGATTCCGGCGCCACAGCAGCAACAGCAACAGGTAAGTGCGCCGCAGCCACCATACGTGTCTCATGATCGTCGCGCAGTCGGAGGAGCGACTCCTTCGGTGGAAAAGACGTTAAACGACGATGCCAACGAGCCGGCCAACGATATTAGGTTCGTTCAGCAGAATGGCAACATCGTTCCAGCTGGCCCGGGCGAAGTGAAAGAGATCGGCGAGCAGCGCGAACCCTCGGCTAACGACTTACAGCAAAAGCAACAGAAAGACGTTGTCGAGCGTCCAAACGTTATGGACGATGAGAAGAATGGCCTTGAAGAAGAGCAAAGAAAACAGGTAATGTCGCCGCCGCTGAATCGAGACGACAACAGTTCGAATGATAACGCTTCGGCGGTGCCGGGTTCGCAAGCCGAGCAACCGTTGGCACAACCTGGCGTCGAGCGAGCGTCCACGGTAGCGTCTGGTCGATCAACCGGTGTCAAAGCTCATGTAGAGGCTGACGAACTGCAGAATCTGCAGGAAAGAGTAGATGGGATTCTCAATCGTGATGTACCCCATAGCGGAATTCGTTAAGCTTTGCATTTAACTCATTGTTACGTGTTTGTGGTCGGACTATTTTTAACTTGTCGGGAACGGTCGTATAATTTGAGTTAAATTCTTTGAGTTTTAATACGTGAGTTGCGTAAAAGATTTTTTGCGATGTCGCAATTATGTATAGAAATTATCTTTATTAATAAATTATGATTGTTGATGATAATTATTTTATTAATAAAGTAAACCACAAATTATCCAATTGTTATATTACTAATGAATGATTACTTCATTGTTTATTAATAAAATATTTTTTACGCAATTATGCACGGATTGGTAGGAAAGATCTAATTAGTTGTTTAAATCAAAGTTACTATTTTATTTTTTAAATAACAAAACATTGGTAACAAACAAATATTTATATTTTATGACTAATTGCTTTTTCTCTAACAGTTCTGTATGCTTTTGGGGTGAATATTAGTGTTATCGTCAAAATATAGAGTTAGAATAGTTTTCTCTTTTTTTGTATTCGTATCTTCTCGAAAAAAAATTTTTTTATTGTAATCTTTCTCTAGTATTGCTTTATATTACACGCAAAATTTGTGCTAAGCTTGAGAAAAAAATAATATATGTAGTATTATTTATGCGCATAGTTTTATATGCATGTAATGAAGCAAAATTACTTGTCGAGTTATCTCATTATTCTTTTTCTTTAAATATTTATTACTTATGGTTAAAATAATTTTTCTTGTAAATTATTACATATATAATTTTTGCAGTGTACAATAATTTGCAAGAAGAATCATTCTAACTAACAATGCGTAATAAAGAAACGAAAAAAGTTATCTATTTGCTTGATTACTATTCCATAATTTCTGAAAAATACGTTTGATGTATTGTTAACGAATGAAATCTGTAATTTTTCAGCGGTTTTAACTCCTTGAGTGCCACACCATTTTCAAGTAATCCTAAATACCAAAAGCAAAAGATTCTCGAAAATTAATGAAAGTTTATATAAGGGGCTGATGGTGTTGACGAATTTCAGGTCAAATTAAACAAAAAATTTGTCATAAACTTTTATGACAACTTTTGTCATAAAACTGTTTAAACATTTTTTTCAAGTATGACTTCAAAATTATGTTCAGCATACTCAAAAATTCCTAAATGTACCTTGTATTAGTCATTGGTTCATTGTAAAACTTGATATAACAAAATCTAATGAGAATATTCGATAATTTTTATTTTCTTGACAGCCATTTTTTCCGAAGCAACATTTTACAAATCGGACTCAAAAATCGATTCAGCGTACCCAAAAATCTAGTTACACTTTGCTTCAATGATAAAATCACACTTGTAATATAACAAAAATTTCATGAAGAGAAATGCATTTTCGTGGCACTGAACGCAAAGTCCAAATGACGAGAATTTTTGTCATCTGCAGTCAAGGGGTTAAATTGTTTTAGTCGCAAGTGATATTTAATATATAGTAATATTGCCTATTATTAACAACGTTTATATATTATTTATTACAATAGCAGACCGTTCCTATCGTTTATTATTTTATATATATATATATACAAAAAAAAATATATATATATATATATATATACGCTGACACAGAGTTCGCGTATTATTACATTATTATCAATGCGGAAGCTGTTAACATTATACATGCACTGATCAAATTCCGAATCGTATATGGAAGTTCTCGTAAAATTCTCTAACAGTAAATGTCATTATGCCTTAAAATATTTTTATTAGGTATTTTATTAAAAAATCTCCCCAAAAGTTACTCAAACAAAAATGTTGTCATAATCTTATAGACGTGTATTTAGACGTTCTATTGACTATTGTACTGTTTGCACAGTTTTATAGATATTTTTATCGTTACATAATCTAATAAATGTTGGGTGTTTAAAGAATACCTACTAGAAGAATATTTACAGAGATTTTATTAAATTAAATACATATATTAAATAAATATTATTCATTTAAATAAATTACTACTTAAAAAGATTCTATTCGTGTATATAATCTTTTCGACCGATCTCTTATCTTCTTTACCTCGCTCTTTCATTATTGGAAATAAAAAACCTGTTCATGTATACGTGTAATAAAATGGCTCGAGAGCCGTACTGAATGTGCCTGTAAATCTGTGTTCTACGATGCATTAATAAATTGTTATTACGTTTATTCGCTTGCATTTTTATTAGCAACCTCGTAACGACCTATGTAACTATTATCAGCTTCTGCATCGCGCTTTTACTGTATCGCCGCTAATTAATTTATGTTGTTCAAGACTATTGCCTTTAGCCGCGCTAAATAAATGCTTGAAAATTTGTCGAACTGTAAAAAAAGCTTGTTTTTATTTATATAGTGTAGCTTTTCTGCTCTTTGGATTGCTAAATAATATAACTTCCAACTGTAGTTAGCTCGATACATAGAATTGCTGTGTCGTGCACTGCATTTACAACTTTTTTTGTGGTTTATCATTATTAGACAAATTATTTATTTAATGCTAATTATTTATTTGATGTTAATAAACTTTTCACGCAACACTACAGTGTGGAGGATTTATATAGCGAGATTGTCAATGATTTATCGATGCATAATGTCAGGATGGAATGGAAGATGAAAAATATCGTAGTTTCGTAATTTCTAGCGTATTTCGAGAAATGACAATTGCCGCTATAACCGGTTCTACCGTAACATTATATAATCGCAAAGATTGAATAAGTAAGACGTCACAACATCAACGGTTTCCGCCTGCGCCCGTCGAACAACTGCATTGTACCGTGTGTAATGGTGTAAACAATTTTTTTCAGAGCGTGGCGAGTTCACGAAAAGCGGAGAATACCACTGTAGCGAGCAACGCCAATCTGGTATCGCCGTCTGTCGTCGACAAGCCCGCGCCGCTACCAGCCAGACCGCTGTCGAAAGTCAAGGTGCCGGTCGGCGTATTGCCAATACCGGAAATGATCGAGCAGAACGACGACGCGGATAAGGAGAAGCGCGAGGAAGAGATCCGAAAGCGGGAGGACGCGGCGGCGGTTCACAATTTGCAGCCACCGCCGCCGAAACTCGCCCCGGCGAACGCGGCGGATGACAAAGAGGAGAAGGAACCGATAGTCGAACCTGGCAATCTGGACCCACCGTTTGTTGCAAATCCTCCCGCGCGACACGTTGGCGAGCAGGTCGAGAGGAGAGCGAAAGACGCTTGGTTGAGGGTGGGACCTGGGGTACAGGAGGTCGGCGAAGAACTCAATCGAGTTCCTGGGTGAGCTCCGGTATTTTTATCGCGATTGAATAATGTGTAAATAAACAGCATGCTTATTATTAGTACGCATAAAATATTTAGATTACATAACTTCATTATATATAAGTGATTTTTTATCTTTTAAAATTTTCCTCTCTAAGCTATTCAATTACAATGAATGTATCATATTATATCCTTTGGTTTTAGATTGGATGACGGGCAAGCTAATGGTGGTGACGATCAGTACGACGGCGATTACGACAAGGAGCAGCAAAAGAACGATATTCATCTGGCGGAGGGCGAGGACGAGGGGGAAGGTAACTTGAGAACGATCGAATCAATCCGACAACGCAATTGATGTCGCGATCGCAAAATTATTCTCGAATCTGAATTTCAGACGAAGGCGACGATGTTTGAATATCCGCATAAGTTGAAGCGAGGAAAGAGCGGGAATAAAATCAGCGTCGTCGTTCAAATGTTTTTTAACGGGACGCGCTGACTGAGCGGTACAAGAAGGAAGTCGGCTGAAAAATAGTCAAACGACCTGACCCGATCTGACCTGACCTGACCGATATTCACGATCGTTCGGGTTTAATCAGCGAAGAATACTTATTGTGTATTATAATCTGTACGAATCATTCGATGTGTGACGTCTCACGAGGAACTAGCAGGGATTCGATTCATCTTTACCTTTCGTACGAAAACTCTTGTACAAGATTTTAATCTAAGTATCGATATATGATTGTATATACACGGTACAAATATCGTCAAGCGCATCTAAGCGTTCGACGAAGACTTAGGCGCGGTTCTGGGTAATTTCAGAAGGTTCAGAATAAACTAGTGTGACGCATTTCGAAGAAGAAGAAAAAAGATAGACTGTATTTTTCTAGATTAAGATCTACCGTGCACGAGTCGAGTGACTTAATCGCGTTTATTATTTGAGACACTCGCGTGACTTTGTTACAAATGTGTTAATTTAGATTTGGATTGCACCAGCAGAATTAACTTTATAACGTAGTAACGCGTACGAGGTAAAAATACCTCGGAAACCATTTAGTATTCACACATTAAGATTAATTTGCGTTACAATAATAAAAATATGTTATCGTGAATTATGAAGGGGTGCTAATCTCGAATTACTTCTTTTAATATCGATTAAATAATAATTTATGAGTTACGTATGAAAACTTAAATGTGATTTACGTGTGATAACATCAGCGTTTATGTTATTTGTATAAATGTAAAATGTATAAATGCAAAAAGAGAGTAATTTAAGTAATTACATAAAATTATCTGGCCATGTTAAAGAAATTTTACTTATAAATGACTTAGTACATCACGACACATCGTAACAGAGTTTTTATATAGTATAAAGTTACTCCTACTGTTGCAATCTAAACCTTTTGTAGTACCATTATCACGGCGACAATGGCACATCAACAACCGATTTTATCAGCTTCGTTAAAACAATTTACATTAGTTGAATTATTTTAATCTTGTATATCCATTTATCGATGTCTGCTGTCGCTATCGATCGCAAATTATGCCCATCTGTTTTAAGTGAAATTAAAAATAGACATATTGTCGAATTGGTATATAAACATATCATTATATATACGGTAGATGTTTATATACCGACAAATCGATGTATTGTCAAGTTAACATTTGCTGCAATCGTCGTAATAACAGCGATCGATAGAAGAATATTTACATTTTATTTATTTTGTTCTTGCCGAAAATCTGAAGAGTTTTGACTTAACTGATCAAATTAAGCGTTGAAAACTTAACCGCGAAAGAATTATTATATTAGTTAAAGAGGCCATGATGAGCGTAGTATGTTTTGTTATAGTTCTATATTTTTAGTTATACATTATATATATACATATATACATACACATATACAGAGAGACGATAAATGTACATAACGTTCTTTTCGTAATAAAAACGTCTGAAAAACAGACTTCTCCATCTTTTTAGAGAATTTCCCGCAAATCAATAACTTCCCAGCAAACCTGCTGCTTTTAGAAATAAATTAAGATTCGCTTCGAGCAATATAATAATAATGGGTTATCAGCTGAATCGATAACTCAAGATTGAATTATTAATGATTTGAACATAGTCACGTACATTTCCGATGTCGACGAAACGTGCGCGTTTACTTTTTCATGGTCCGAGTCGAAATCAGCTTTTGGTTAGAAACGCGAAGGTATTATTACTTCTGGATCGAATAAGCGTTATTTCGTCGTCTGTTGGCGATTGCTGATGAAAACCTCTTTTTTGAAGTTTTTTTGAAAATACTTTGCGAAAAATGCGTGAATCAAAATGATCTTAATTTTGAAAATTAATAAGTATAAATACGCATAAAAATAAAATTTAGATGCACAGAGTGTGTCTCTTTTAATATACTCAGTTTGAAGTCGATTTTTCCTTGTTAGCGAAAAGTATTAAGATTCCAATAATTGTTAGATTATAAAGAATTAAGAAAAGAATATTTTTCGTGAATTAAACCCTAGAGGATTACATGGAAATAACAAGATTACATTCTTCAGCTATTTTTAGAAGTTTATTTTAATAATTTAATTCTGATTTAATCTCAAATATACAGTATTAAAAATTGGAGAGGGCAGCGATAAATGGTCTCGATAAATCTCTTTTAACGCTTTCACTAAATTGGAAAAATCGATCTCAGATTGATAAAAGAATAATAACGCTAAAAAAATAATGAACGAGGAGTAAAACATTTTGTACAAAAAAAAATTTAGTTACTCGATGACGTTTTATCATTTGAAAAGAATCTTTTTACGTACGTATTTATCTCAGAGCATAGCATAAATATATCATGTTAAATGTCATTTGCTGGTTATTTATGACTCGCATACGTATTACATAAGCAACAGCATCTTACAACTCTGTCGGTTCTCAGAATTGATCTACATATATATCAATAATGTACAAGACTTTTTTCTTTTGCCTGCTATGTGAAAAACCATCGTTTTTGCAGTTGGAACAATTCCCGTAAAAATGTAATCAAATCTATCAGAGATCTTTATTATTTTGAGTCTTTATTAAATACATTATTTTATAGAGATTCTACTTCTCGTAATCGAAGAACGATAAATATAATCGAAAACTTCAATTTATAGTTTGTTTTAATTTTAGGTATTATATACTCTGATTAATATTTCTAACGAGTACATACCATAATTTCTTATCTAGCTTTCCTGATAAATTTTTTTCGGTTTTTCTCTCTAGGAAACATATTTATTTCTAAAATAGTTCGTGACATCTTTTCTCTCATTTGATGAAGTTACAGAACAATGTCCGCAATTTATAAATAAATGCAAACAAGCATTGTATTCTTCATTCCTTCCACTTTGTTATGCAATATTAAAAGCATGAAAATACTCTGTCGCTGCACTTTTCATCGCCCCGCTTCTTGTATCCGTATTCGTATAACATCTAGAAAAATTGTTCATGTGTGTTGAAAGTACTTTCAACACATAGTTTCCACGTTTCTCGCTCGGAATATAAGAGAAACAGTTTATTTATTTAGTAATCTTTTGCCCGGGTTATCGTCGCGGACCTTGTTCTCGGTGAACCGTGCCTCAGACAAGTTCTTGCAGCGGAATCGAGAACGCAAACACCACACTCTAGATTTGTGCGTGCACGATCATCATTTTAATCTTTTTTAACTCGATAATTTCCCCTGGCTATCAAATGTTCTGCAGTAGTTTCGCTCGCCTAGCGCTCTCGCGTTGTTGCCCAACGAATCCAATGAATACCTAAGAGAAGTTTGCATTAACGTTTCAATTATTTCGTAACCGTCTGATTGAAAAATTATCTGGTACTTTTGGGATTTGGTTTTATTTGAAAATTATATATCTCTCATAAAAATGTCTAGTTTCTGATAATTACAAATTTACGAAAAAAAAATTATGTTATAATAAATATTATCGGATATACATTATAAATAAAATTTTGTACATTTTACGATTTTAAATTTAAATACATCAAATTAAGAAAACGAAAACATTTCTTTTTTTCCACTTAAATTGTTTTATCATAAGGAAGAAAGATATTTAATATCAAAGTAAAAGAACCATGCATTTGATGTCAAATTATAATACATTTGCGCTTTATTATTCGCGAGAGGATTGAATTGCAATGAATTACAACGAGGAGAGAATTACAATGTAATTAATAGGATATATCGAAGACTTTCGATCGCGGAGGATTATTTCGACAAGATTCGCCACACGAGTAGCATTGCTGTGGTTTTGGAGACGTCGCAGGTAGTCACGTTGCAGTGCTTAGACGAGATGCTCACGTCAGCGTGTCTACGAATGTGCTAAGTGGTTGTTTTCAATTATCCTCTTATGAGTCTTCTCATAGATTAGAAGAGCTCACGTACCAGCGACCTTCGTGCAAGGTTGCATGACCGCATTGAGTCACCATTACGTGTTAAAAAAATAGGCAAATTGAGAGCAATTTGACGGGAATTAATTTATTTCATAAAATTATGAATTATACGTAAGACATTCGAAATTTGGAGGTTCATAAAAACGAGGCGTAAAACATGCATGCGCTAAAATGAATAGGCGAGATACGGCCAAATTAGGAAGAAATGCAACGTGAATGTAATTGATGTAATCATTAACATCACATAATTTAATAAAAATGTAATATAATTACATTGCTTATTATTATAACCATAATATGAGAAGTGTAACTGTTATAACGTCGCTCCCCCCGAATTTAAAGATTAGGAATTTACGTAACTTCATCGAATGAATTTGCGTCGATATTTCATGATTCACCGACTTTCCGCAAGAATGATTTTGTATCGCGGAATACATTTGTAACGTGTGATTTTAGCCGACCGCACAGGTTTTATTTTAACCGAGTTGCGTTAATATTATTTGCAAATCGGAGAATGCTCGTCGATGTAAATGCGCGAATTTTATGCACAAAGTGTCTCGGAATAAAACCGGGAAACCACCGCGAATCATTTATGTATGCTTCGACGATCGATCCTTTAAAGCCTTCTGTATAAGGGATGAAGCCTCGTCCTCAAAATTCAATACTTCTCGGAGGGCAAAGGTATATAAGGTAAATATCTGTTGCTCCCTTTTTGTCGAATATATCAGAATTTAATGAAAATTTCCATACATTTATTCATAAGTTCTATACGAGAAATGCGGCAAAGAAAAGCGGAGTATCAGATGTCACGTTCCCGAAAACAGCCACGTTGATAAATCCTGCGCTAATTTCCTGGCTATCGTTTGATTTACGAGAAATACGCGATAATTACTAACAACACAGATAATGTCGATATAGCTCCGTTCGTTTACTCGTCGGCTCGTCTCTCTTAGCGATACTGTTTCACTCGGCAACCTTCGACCTTGGAGGCTTGGTGTGTGCGTGAGTTTCGACCGTTCATCTGAATTCTCGTGGAGCACACCTCGCTGTTGAAGATACACGGCATATTGTATACAAGGTGATCCACGCACACACAAAAGCCAGACTCTTGAAAAATGTTCGTGATTCGTGAAAATTTTGGGAAATTTTTTTCCAAGGACTAAAAGAAACTTCGCAACTTTTTCATTCTTGCTTCTATCGTTCGATTGTTAATTGCCAGAATTACTCTCGAAATGTATTAGAAACTCTAGATCGTTTTTTTGGGGAAAAATCAGAATTTTCTTAAATGTGTCGAAATTCTAAAAATAATATTAAAAGTTTTAAAAATGGATGTGGACGTCCTTCATAATTTCTAAAGAAATCCACTGCACGTGGACCACCTTGTATATACATATATGTACTAATACAACGACGAAACTCGCTTATGAACGATCACGGGACTGACGTAATATCGCCTAGGCCCCACTACTCAAACCGAAGATCGGATCGAGGTTTCAAAGTCCCTGACAAGCGGCAAGCGCGCGCCAGTGTGCTCCTTTCGTTACTGAAGGCAAGACGTGAGTAGAGAATATTTGGAATAATTAAATATAAAATACAGAAAAAAAGCATATTAAAATTTTTAAAAACACGATCTAGTATCAAATAAACGCGCGAAATGTTACGAAACGATTATTACGTCAAAGATTAAAAATAGAAAGACTGCTAAATCATCGTTTGAAGAGATAAAATAAAGTAATGAAGAATTAAACATATAAAAAAGAATAAGAAAAATTCTTCGATATGTCAATCGTATTATTGTTCAAAAATCGTTCAATTTTCTGTATTATTTCTTTGTTAAACTATAATTGTGATCATATAATATAGTGCCACTTTTAGGTAATAAATTATTTCGGCTCGCTTTCGTTTCGAAAAAATTGCACGGGTGAAGTGTTATCACATATTACTATCGTGCCGATGTAAACCAATGTCGATTTAGTATTCGTTCGATCGATTGGATTAATTACGGAATATTAACGATTCTAGACAGCGAGGATGAAGACATTACTTTTCACCGTTTTCGCGGTGCTGTGTATCCAGGCGGTTTTCGGTGTAGATCCTAACGAGCACAACAAAGTGGTTTGTTATTGGAACAGTACCGCTTACGAGAGGCAAGGTGAGGCCAGTTATATTACTCATACTTTTGCGACGTATGGAGTCTATTTCAAGAATATTCATGATCCTGTGGATTAGATTAAAGAAAAACGATTTCCTCGACAATTGCTTCTTGGAAATTAGAAGTTATCGAGCGTGTGAAATCTCTTTATATAAGAAATTTGGTGTATAACGTTTTCTAATTTTATTATACGAGAATAATAAAAAATAAAACGCGTATTATTCTCTTTTAAATAACGTAATTAAATATAACTTTTTATCATCGATTCACAAAAGTTAATTGTTTAAAGGGAATCGTTTGAGGAAAGATAATTGATTTGCCCTTTTTCAAATTTTAGGTGGCACAATAGCAAAAGTTAAATATAATTTTCATGAATTCGGGTTTTATTAAAATTGTAATTGATGTGCACATATCATCGTTAAATATTATCATTGTTATTTTATATACCTAACTTTAAAAAATTAAAATAATTATAGGAAAACTACGTTAAAATCCTTTTTCGATCATTTCTATATAATATTTCCTGTTATTAAAATATCTAAAAAACCAGCAACATCAAAACTTCTCTCCGGCTTGTATTTATTGAAGAGTTCGCCGGCACTTGTGTTTGTGCTGCGATAGACATGAAAGTCAAACATATCGCGAACAGCAGTGTAAATCTAACATAGACATTTCATGTGGCAATTCAAAATTGGAAGTCGATATAATGTCTTAAATTAAAAATGCGATTCTAAATTCTCTAAATGTGATTTTGTTTACGTTTTTAACCTTTAATTTTTCAGTTAAATTATTTATTGATATATTTATATTTATAAAACTTTTTTCGTTTTCGAAGGTCCAGCAAAGTTCCAAATTGAGGATGTCAGACCCGCTTTATCTCTTTGTACTCACCTTATTTACGGATACGCTCACATAAATTCCGACTTTGAGATTGTTCCCGGCTCGCCGAGCTTAGATACCGGATCGGGTTATTCCTATTATAGACTCGCCACGCAGCTGAAACGACAGTTTCCCGATCTGAAGATTTACCTGAGCGTCGGAGGAAACTCCGATCCTTACGACGAGGAGCATAAGTACCTCGTGTTGGTGAGTAACAATATATCAGTATTACGATCTTATTGTTTCGCGTGACAATTTTCCATATTTAATGAAAAAGTGTTGAAACAAAATCTTTTACATCTGACAATAAGCGATCTGAAGATTCAGGAACAAAATAAAATTAAAAATTGCCATAATCGGCAAGCGATTAAATAAAGAATTAAGCAGAATGATGGAAATTTTTGGGATCGATAGACCGAGACTGCGGAAGGCAGAACGAGGTTTATCAATTCCGTCAATCGGCTGCTGAACGACTACGATTTCGACGGAATCGATCTGGCGTGGCAGTTCCCACCGGTCAAGCCCAAGAAGCAGCGCAGCACTCTTGGATCCATCTGGCATGGTCTCAAGAAGAAACTCGGCTACGGGAAATTCAAGGACGACAAGGAGCAGGAACACCGCGACGGTTTCACAATCTTGGTGCGCGACCTCAAGTCGCAACTCAGACCGAGATTCAAGGCTCTGACCATCACGGTGTTGCCTCACGTTAACTCTACCGGTTAGTATCTTACGCGGGCAAAATCAGTAATCGTATATTAACAATAATTGTTTATAGTCATAATGTTACTACAATTGTATGTAAATTGTTTTTTTTAATAAATGTTTAATATGCAATTATACATTTTTTTTTAGTCTACTACGACGCCAGATTGTTGGCGCCCAACATCGAAGCCGTGCATCTTTTCGCTTTCGATCAGAAAACACCAGAACGCAGCGCGAAGGAGGCCGACTTCCCAGCGCCAATTTACGCCAGTTACGGACGCGTGGCGGAAGACAATGTCGACGTTGCGACACGGTAAAGCCTGCTTCTTTCCGCGTTCCTATGCATTATTTTTCCGTATCGTCAACAAAATGTAGTTTAACATATATAACGTGATCAATTTATGGCAGTTACGGACGCGAGGGAGATGACAATATTGATGCTGTGGCAAGGTAAACATACCTTTTCCCCCCTCAACGCACTTATTATTTTAAAACGCAGCAAATTTACTCCGCTTAACGAATTTACCACGCAATCCTATTTTTTTAACTTCATTGATTTTTCTATGTTGAATTTTCATATTGAATTCTACTTTCTCCCACGCTTAATTCATTATTCGTAAGTTTATAAATTACGATGCATAATTCATCTCTTTTATCGGATCGATTATACTGCTTAATATTTGTTCATTAACATTTATAAATATTCCAGAAGCTAAACAATTATGTCAAACAATTATGTCACATTTACGTTTATGTAAATGTTTCTTTTTATACTGGGTGCCTCGGTACGCTCCCTTTGTCTCGTTAAAAGCGAGGACTTTTCGCACAACGCACACAACGCTTTTTACAGCCCGATAAGAATAACATCGGAATAACAAGAGCAAAAACCCCGCAGGTACTGGTTGGAGAACGGAACTCCCGGCAGCAAGATCGTCGTCGGCATTCCCACGTACGCTCGCACGTGGAAACTGACGTCCGACAGCCAGATTTCCGGCGTGCCGCCGATCGTGACCGACGGTCCGGGCGCACCCGGGCCCAACACCAACGAGCCGGGGCTGCTGTCCTACGCCGAGATGTGCTCCAGGCTGACCGAGCACGCGGCGGGACGGCTGCGACGTGTCGGCGACCCGTCCAAGAAGTACGGCAGCTACGCCTATCAGGCTTACAACGGTGAGACCGGTGCCGAGGGGATCTGGGCGGGCTACGAGGATCCGGACACCGCCGGCAACAAGGCCACGTTCGTCAAGTCCAAGGGTCTCGGCGGCGTGGCGATCGTCGATCTGTCGCTGGACGATTTCCGGGGCGTTTGCACCGGCGACAAGTACCCGATCGTCAGGGGAGCTAAGTACAAGCTGTAAAGACGGAGCGGAGAATTCGATCTCGGACGGTAATCGGAATCGAAATCTCGGAAGTCCATAACGATACCCGACCGAAGGAAGCTTTCGGATGCCTGACCGCGATTCGTGAATACGGTGGTCGTGTTTATATATGTATTGCCCGACGTGCGAGAGTTATCGAGACTTTTAACGAGAGAATTTTTAATGAGAGAATTTTAATGAGGATCGTTACGCTGGCGCTTCGGGTGTATTGTACGTGAGGATAATAAAAAACATATCGCTGCTTTATTATTCAAGTAGTTTGATCTTAATCCCCCCATTATTTTCGAGGGACGAGCTCGTCTCATAAAGAACAGGAGCATCAAAAATTATATTTCATAAGAATTCAGTTGTTACCTGCGCGTTAAAAATAATATTTCCTGTAAAATAAAAACAACTTTTTACATTATCACCTGATTTGTACAAGATAAGTTGCTGTTGATTTGATTTAACTTGTATGTTCTCCGAGAGATAAGAAGTGACGAAGACGCTGATCCTGGAAAAGGACAAAGGATAGAAAAATGAGAGAAACTGGAAGCCGCACGGCGAGAGAAAAAAAACATTCATGTATGATACATATATTTTTTTATATAGATAATATATTTTTTTCGTGCAGTCTATTTTTTCGGCCAAACGATACATTTGCACGGGTGTATAACAAAGGTTCTCCTGCAACTATAGACTCGTTAACATATCCAACATCGAGGATTACGTCAAACCGGACACAGTTAATAATCCGCAGCCATTCTCACGACGGTTCGAGTCCAAACCTCCTCTCTCCTATCTCGGCACAGTGAATCCAAAACGAGGGAAAAAAAAGACACGCACACAGTGAGTCGCTGGTAAATCTGATCAGATTATCGAGCGATTTGTTCGGCTCGCCGCGCGATACGTACGCGATCGCGCGTCTCGATCGTTCGTGCTTGAACGCCGTGCGATGATGGATCGTAATCCCGTAATCGTAAAACTTGTAATACGTATATATCTTTACAAAATACTGGGAGTGGTAGCCTTGTAAACAGCTTTACGTCTCTACGCTATACGTTGATAATTCGATAGACGTTACAGTTACGTTAACGAAGGAAGGGCACTCGTGACAATACATTACAATATATAACATACAACGAAACGATACTCGCCTAATCCCGCTCTCTATATCTCTATAGGTCTACGATTATCTCGCCTTCGATTCGCAAGTCCACGCGTGTTAAAACCCACGACGGAGTCCCCCGTTAATGCACTTTAGACGCGCGCGTCTTAACCCGTTAAATGCCACCCGCTGTCCAGCGGACCCCAGACCCTTTACAATGATATATTTTCAAATGTTCCCGCCAAAAATGGAGTTCATGCTCCCTTTGATGATAGTTGAGTGATTGACCTACCAGTGTGTACACTTAGCAGTACTCAGTTTACTTAATTTTTTATACTATGTTGAAATTGAAATTTTAATAATATAAGCATTTTATTCTCTAGACCTTGAACAACATTGAAAAAATTTTTCATAACTAAAGATAAAAAAATCAATGAGTAAGGAGACATTTTTCATGCTGGGGTCTTTTAGACCCCTCATGTCATTTACGAGATTCTTGAGAGGTGTGGCATTTAAGGATTAAACGTGGCGCAGGATTCGACGTTGTTTCTTTGCGTACGCTTACGAATGCAAATTAACGACAGAAATGAATTGAAATATGAGTGTTGAAAAAACACAGTTGGCTGCCTTGGCGATTGCAAAATTTATAAGATCCGATCAAGATTTGCACCGTACTCACTTTTATCGCTATTAATCATACGACTTTAGCGCGCAGTCATCTCACGCGAACCGACTCTTCTCCCTCGTGACGTTCCCGTTCGCGGACAGGAAAAGGGTTCGCTCTTTATCTATTTATTTATATGCAATGTGGGTTGCCTACGACACGACGAGGGGGAGTGCGTATCTCGAATCATCGCGTCACACGAATTACGTCAAATCACACACCTTGTTTGTTATGTTACTTAATACTGGAACGTTCATTCAAATGCTTAGGTTTTATAATAGGCTTTAATGCTGCCGCGACGCAATTATGGCACTTGGATTACGACATTGTACATCCGTTGTTTGTATATAGATACTTGCTGCTCTCTTTTTCTGGACGATCGCTGTTAACGAGACAACACGAAGAGCTAAGCGAACGTAGGAGGTATATCACGAAATCTTATTCATTCCCACAAATGTAAACCGTTATTTATAAGTATATCATTAATTCGTAATTATTTTAATAACGTAATGATATCATCTGAAGTTAAAGGTAAAGCGAACGGCTCATTATACATGTCAAGTTACGAAATTAATAATAATTAGTAACGCCAGCTTTAAAGAGAAAACACAATAAGTTAAAATATTTCAAATTTAAAACTAAGCATAAATTTTTCTATTGGAATTTCATTTTCTCGAAACTACTATTTTCTACATCGTACGCGTGATATACTTCTTTCATCCGCTCGCTCCATCAATCGCGAACAAGCGGATTCGCAAACGCCGCCGTGAATAATTTTCGCGCCCGACATGATATACCGTCGGTATATGTTCCTCGATATAAAAAATAATTCGGAGTGGTGCTGTCGCGCAAGAGGAGCTCGCGATTTAGCGTCCGCGATGATCCCAGGCAGTTTAGTGGAATGAAATTGGTTTTTTTGTTACTTTCTCTCTTTCTTCCTCGCGCTTCCTCGCTAATTTTTTGGTTCGCTTTAGCGTGGATGCAGGTACGAGTGATTAATTAACTCCGCGCGATCGTATATATACTTGCCACGGAGATAAATAAGTGGATTTCGACTTTTGAACCAAGCGACGACGCTACATTCCTCACACTACAACACGATAATAATGGATAAAGGTTCGTTGCTAAGCTTTTTCATTTTTGGGAGGGTCGCGACACTGACCACTTCGTCCTATAAAAGTAAAAATGTCCGATCAAAGCAATCAAGAGCTATTGGATTTCGAGGTGCCGGAGTAGCGGATCGGATACGCGGCTAGGAGGAGGTAATCTCTATCTCTTAAACTGAGAAAAGGGCTGGGGAGGAACAAAATGGAAACGGTTCTGTATCTAAGTGCTTTGCGCGTTATCGAGGCCGCGATGGTTATCGAAAAATGACGCTTCGGAAACGACCGTCGCGTAACGGTGACATTTTTCTCGTTATTAACTACTCGTCCCTAATGGCACTGAAAACGGCGCCATTGAAACAAATTGCAAAATTATTACAAAAATAAGGAAACAAAAATGAATCCATATTTCTAGATCCCTTTCGATTAGCGACATCTAGTACAAGTGTTATTACAAAAGTGACTTATTGCCCAAGACATAAAAATAAAATCGAAACAACACGAGTACAAATAAAACTTTCAGACAATTTTCGTACGTAAGTGATTAAAGAAACGAAGATAAATGCACGCGGGAGATTTTCCGTCGCGCTGCGACTTCTCGTTTCTCTCCCCGCGTTCTAACTCTGAAGCAGAGAATTTAAATAAAAAAAATAAAACTTACCGAAAATTATTGAGTAAACGAAAGCAGACTCGAAGCTTCGATCTTCGCGGCTCCGCTCCATTCGGCCGCGAATAACGCCCGAAAGCGGGATTCCAGATACGAGCGTATATCAGAGAGTCCTACGGTGTCTCCTACGCTTTTTTTATTTCTTTCCTTTCTTTTTTTTTCTCTCTCCCCCTTCTCTTTTTCTCCCTTACCCTAATCTCTACATGACGGAACATCGTTTGACGTTGTACCTATTATCTTGGTCCACATTGTTAATGCTGAGTACTTTGAGGAGCCTCTCGGTATCCTTGAAGCTGTGCCTGGCGCGCTGCTGCTGCTTCATCAGCATCATCGTCGCCGTCGCCGTCGCCGCCGTCTTTTTCTTCTTCTTTTTCTTCTTCTTGCGCTTGGTCTGCGGCAGCGTCAGCTCCAGCATCTGCTCGAGCCGCAGGCGAATAGGCCAACCGGCGCTACCGTCCTCGGCGTCCCGATGATAGGTGTAGCTCGACGTGTTAGGCTCTTGGTGATCCCGACGCTCCCACCACCACGGATTCTTGCACGAGCTCGTCTGCCGATCGCGCTGCGGATCCTGATGATAATCGTCCTCCTCGGCCATCGGCCGCCTCGGCTGCACGAAGGAGTCGTGGACGCGAACCGGTCGTGCCAACGAGGACCTCTTCTTGGCCGGTGTCAGGTGCGCGGACTGATGCCTCGCCAGGGATTTGCTCAGGCTGTTTCTCGCGCTTCGAAATCGCCGGAGTTCGTCAGGAGACGTCGGCGCCTCCTCGTCGAGATACAGTTCCGCGCCCGAAGCGGGCAAACGATAATTGCCGCGGATCCGATGACCGACGGGCACGGCCCCCACGTCATTCTTGCCGTTATTGTTGTTGCTGTAGTTATTGTTGTTGTTCCCGCCGGGGTTGTTGTTGTCCACGTGACGACACTGCTCGGCGCACTGCAGACAATCGTAATATTTCTCGGCGACGTGACGACGCGCCGAGAAACGATCGCGCATATCGGCGCAACGGCGACGCTCGTTGCTAGCGATCGCGCTACCGCCGCGCACGATCTGGTGACGATAAGGCTGCTGTCACACCTCCTGCAGGTACTTGAGGGGACAGAGGATCTCCTTGTAGATAACGTCTCCCTCCTTGCCCGTGTGATCAGCGGAACGCACATCCGCGGCGCATCTCACCATCGCCACCCCGTCCACCTCTTCGCCCACTTGGATCACGATCTACGTACATTGTGTAACGGAACGAAAGGATTGAGTCGCGGATTACGTTAAGGATTTGGAAACAACGAGATATTTAATAGATATAAAAGAAGATTCCCATTGAAATTACATATACCGGAATTTTTTAAATAAAAAGCAAATTTACGGAATAAATCTGATACAATTTTTATAGAGATTGTGGATAACGTTAAGAATTAAAAAAAACAAGAGTTTCTATAAATATAGACTAAACAGATTTTTTTGTTTAAAATGATACGTTTTTTACTATTACTATCTATTATTGATACGTCCTTAGTGATTTAAGAGATTGAAATAGAAATTTTATGTAGATTTTTGTATAAGTTAATTTTTAGGCTTAATTATTGAGATATTTAAAGATTAATGAATCTTAAAAAAAATCTTACAGCTCATTGATTAAAAATAATCAATGTAAATAATAAACAACGTAATGCAAATAAATATGTAACATGTCCAACTAATTTCTTAATTAAAATTTTTCTTCTAAAATTATCCAACTAATATCTTGACTAAAATTATCCTTCTTGCTTTTTTAAATACAACAAAATTTTAACAAATATTAATGCGAGTAAAAGACAATACAAACTGAACCATTGAAATTGGCAATCAAGTTATCTTTTTATCTGAATACAGTCGACGCTCCTTATTCGCGAGAGTTACCCGACAGGAACTATCGCGAATACGAAATCCACGGAATGGTTAAATGTATGGTAGTATATGGGATACACGTTAAAAAAAATTATATTGAAGAAAAAATTCAAGAGAACACTATTAATTTTATTTAAAATAATAAAATATGAAATATTATATGTATAATGAACGTATTTAATATATAATTTTAATTAATTTCAGTTGTTAACTGGTTTAAAAAGTTTAGTTATTTTGATCTGCTTTGCATGCTGCAGCTTTTTAAAATGATTCATGTAATCAACCATTATTATGTCTCCTCTATTGTCCTTTTAAAACTAAAATTTCTTTCCTTTAGATGGATCGTTGTCTACAAAAAAATCTACAAAAATAGTGGAAAAGCTTATATTAATTCCTGTGCCCAGTGTCTTTTATGTGTGGCATTATTTTTTTTTCTCTTAATTTGCTCATCTTTATTTTTTTATAATTCTTTACAAAATACGACACGAACTCAATGTGTAGCGTAGTATACATGCTGAATGCAAAGATTGAATCCCGTCTCTTTGACTCATTAAACAAGTGCTTCTGCAAGCCTTTAATTGCCTTTGAAACAAAACACACTCCGTGAAAAAGCGAGATAGCGCTGTTCTATATACTGTCCATGACATCTCGCATTCTTGTTCTTTAAATGCGCAATTTTTTGTAGCATTCTGAGTATTTTTTAAATAAATAATGACTGCTTGAGAAATCCTAAAAGAACATTTAAAAAATTCCTTCTTTACTAATTTGAACTCTTTTGACTCTTTGAACTCTTTTTATCCCTAAGCCCTTTTTATCCTTTTTACCTTTTTTGACCAAGCAAAAGTACACGCAGAGAAGGCCCTTTACAAATATGCAAAGCCGCGCGTTTTCAGTTTCGAACTTCATAAGGGAGAGTACACGAATCGAAAAGTCGCTTTGAATATATGCAAAAGTTGCGCGCCACTTAAGGGTTAAAGCGGCAATGATCAAAGTACAATCGCGAATAAAGAATCGCGTGGTCACGTATGAATATTGCATGCATCCGCGAATGAATAAATCAGCGAATAAGGAACCGTCGACTGTACTTCGCGGATCGTTTTGAGGAGTTTCTAACATCCACATGCAAAACACATACAAATACCTGATCTCGTAGGAGGGTTTGATCAGCCAGCTGCAAGTTGCGCGTTACCTGAAGAGTCCTCTGACCGGATTCGACCCGCATAACGTATGCACTTGGGAAATAACCGGCACGGCCACCGAGACACTTGCCTTTCCACCAGTCCTTCTCCGATTTGTCGATCACCGTGATCTTGTAACCGGCCCTGTAATCACGAGGCACGCATATGTATATAAATCAACATTCTATGTAAATCGGATAAATAAAACGGTAACGAACGTTAACTTGCACACGTTATAAACATAGCTAGCCGCACTCATTTTCGAGTTCTTAATTCGCCACACTCTAGTCCGTGAGACACTGCTCGACTCGTCGCATTGCCATTTTCATTCTAATTAAAATTTGCAAGCTTGCACTGTAGAAATTAGAAATACAGACCTTGAATAAGAATGTTATTTTTATAATAATATCAGGTCAAGGAAATGATTTGAGTTTGAACTAACCTTGTTATAAGGAAAAGATTGCAACTAGAAAACCGAAAAACGTTTAGCGGTTTTATTCAATGTATCTTCACGATGTTGATAATTATTGCTTCATCGCTCTTCACGTTTCAAGTTTCAAGGTATAGGTACAGCGTCACTATGAAGTTAGTCGCGTACGCGTCACGTTCCCGTTTCGAACTGACTCGCCTCGCCGCAGCGTACTTATATAGGCCTAGTTTACACCGATCTCTTGATACGCGTATCAAATAGTATATTTGAACTGATCAGCCAATAATCAGACTTATTTACTAGTTATTTACTATTTAATACGCGTATCAAGTGATCGATGTAAACTAGGTCATAATACAATATATACGATATTCGGGACACAATCGCGACGCTCGCTATGATAACGGATAACCGTCGAAAAGTAAACAATCGCCGTGCCGTGTTGTTAAAGCCATTGCACACAAAAGCTGCATTCCGATATTTACTGTCAGCAACTACTGTCAGTAGTGTCAGTACTGGTCAGTACTGAAAATCTATATCGTGACGTAAACTATAGAAACATATAGACTTCCAGTACTGACAGTGAATATCGGAATGCACCTAAAATTGCATAGGCTGGATAAGCATAGCATAAAGCCGGTTCTACAATACGTCATGCAAACGATGGCAACTGCTAGTTAAAAAGTGTTAATTAATTCTGATCATTGCCGATTGCCAGTTATTGTCGCCAAAAAAGTTAAAAGTTCGCCAACTCTCTTTTGACAACCGCAATTGACAAGTGCGACGTGGAAATAACACTTTTCAACTAGCAGTTGCTATCGTTTGCAACATATTGTAGAACCGGCTTAAGACCGCTGGACCAATGAGCATCTTATGTAAATTAGTATGGCGATTTTATACTGTGGATGCTCATTGGTTTAGCGGTTTTATGCTACGCTTATGCAGCTATGCATTTTGTGTGCGATGGCCTTTAGGCTTTTTAGGGCCTTGGCACATAGAAAAACTTAAGCAGTAAAACGTTAGCAGTAAGAAAATCAACAGTTTGGATTTGCTGCCGCTTACGTTAATGCCTTAAGTTTTTGAGACTGTGATTGGC